ATTTTTGGGCATCTAGATTATAGATGCAGACGTTTATAAAATAATATAGAATCCAAGATAGAATGGTTAATTTTCAAATTAGGACAGCTGGCTTCTTGTTTGTTACTAACTGAAAATTTTAACTTTGGCTTCAAATTGGACTAGAATTTACCTCAGTCGTGTTCTTGAATTATGTGCTGAGGAAGGAAGATGTTTAAACACTTTAAAAAGTCTTAAATGTCCAAACTTGAATTATCTGCATATCATTAGAATTTTAGATATAGGCATGCATGGCTATGTACACTTTGGTGTCAGATGAAAACTCCACTGCTTCAAAGTCTGATCTGGAATGTGTCTTATCTGCTGAATGTTTTACTTTTCATTCAGGATTATGGTGCCCTGAAAGATATTGTAATCAATGCAAATCCTTCTCTTCCTCCGCTGTCATTATTAGTACTACACAGTCTGCTTTGTGAACGCTATAAAATATTATCAGCTGTTCACACACATTCATCGGTGAAAAGCGTGCCAGAAAACCTCTTGAAATGCTTTGGAGAGCAGACTAAGAAGCAACCACGTCACGAGTATCAGTTGGGCTTTACTCTTATTTGGAAGGATGGTAAGAATGTAGTTATCTTGTAGCTCAATATTTTTAATCGGTGAGAAAATGAAACATGCTATAAAACTTTGACGAGATGCTAAGTGTCTCTGCCGACACATGATGGATACATACTGCAGATGATGCTTTTGCTCTGCTTCACACTGCTGTGAACAACGATGGGGACAGAGGATGAAAATTCTTGTTTGTGGCTACTGCTCTTAAAAATTCATGTGACACCTACAGGGTTGGTCATACCCACAGGTGTGGTTGGTTGGTTTTTTGCTCTTCAGTTTCTACAAACAAAGCTAGTTAGAAATTAAGTGGGAGATTGGGCTGAAGTTTGTAAAAAGTGATCTTTGTCCCAGGTTCCTGCTGTAGTCCAAGTATTTAGACTAAGAAAACTGAGAATTGCTCATCAGGTTACTGATGTTAACTGTGGTGTTGGCAAATAAAATGCATTATAGAATTACCATTACATTTCTCTGCCATGAGGTATTCACTCTTTTTCTTTTCTTAATTTCAGTTCCAAAACCCCAGATGAAGTTCAGCATCCAAACAATGTGCCCTATTGAAGGAGAGGGGAACATTGCTAGATTTCTCTTTTCCCTGTTTGGCCAGAAGTACAATGCAGTCACCTCAACTCTGATTGACAGCTGGGTTGATACAGCCCTCTTCCAGCTCAGAGACGGCAGCAGTAAGGAAAAAGGAGCAGTCTTGCGCTCTATGAACGCTGCCTTGGGTAAGACATCGTGGCTGGTGGGAAGCGAACTCACTGTAGCAGACATTGTTGCATGGTGCGTGCTGCAGCAGACGGGCAGCGCAAATGCTGCCCCAGCCAATGTGCAAAAATGGATGAAGTCATGTGAGAATCTGGCACCTTTCGCCTCCGTTATGAAGTTACTAAAGTAAGCCTGTACTCTTCAAAATGGTGTAGTTTTAATCTTACTCAGCGTTGTGCCTGGTGTTGTGGTTTGAATCCTGAGATGTATTCAAGTCCTACAGTCAGAATTCTAAAATCAGTAAAAACGTTACAGCTACCTTTTGGGTGTGACTTTCCTTTTTTTAACGGATGCACAATATGCATGTTTGTCTAACAATTATAACATGTCTGAAGTAGTCGTATGTAAAGACAAGCTGCACTTTTAACTTCTCCGTCTCTTTTCCCCTGTAACCCAAGTGCTTACACAAGTTAAATTGTACTGAGGCTAACTCCAACATGAATCTTTTCTCCTGACCGCAGGTGTCTGAACTAAGACAAAAAGAGGAATACATGCAAAGAACAGACACCAAAATCAAAATGCATTTAAATATTTTTATGTAAAACCCCCCCACATTTTATATAACTTAGCATACAATAGAGGTTAGTTCTTCTCGTACTTAAACAGGAGAACCTTGACTCTTATATTCATCTTGTTCTTCAGAAAGCAGTCTTATTCTCTCCCTCAGTTTCTCTATTTCTTCCTCTTGCAGTCTCACCTTCTGCTGTAGGTTAGAAATAACCTGAAAATGAGAATCAGTTTACTTAATTTATGATCACACAAGGATAAAGCCTTATTACTATATTTGTACAGTGTTCTCAATCCACTACAGCCACATTCTACACCACCACAGCTATTTGGTGTATTTGATGCTACAACATAATCCACAGATAAAAATTTGTTGCAAGGAAGGGGAAAATGATACATTTTGCAGAGCAGATGAAAAGCTTCAAAAGCTTTTCTGACCTATAAAAATACATGAAGCTGTATATAAATCAGCCATCCAGTCTTCATAAAGTTACCTAAATTTAATGACCATGTATTACTGCAAAGACACCAGAAACACTAACACAGGGGCCTAAACACTGTAATTCACTCTGCCCCCCAAAAAACACAATACCAAGATTTTCAGTCACACAATCCTTGTTAAAAGCAAACCAAACATAATAGAGGCAGGGAAACAAAGGGCATTTTCTTTATTTATTTCTTTAGCTTGTAAAGGTTGAGGTTGTTGGCATAACTTACATGTTCTGTGCTATGAAACAGTTCACTTTCACGAAGCTGAGCAGCAGTTGGTCTCTCTGTAGATTTCTGACTGGTGAGGAGTTTAACGTACTTGGCTTGAATAGGCCATGTTTTGTAGAAAGTATGAGGAATTTCACCATTCCTTAAATGTGTAAGAACTTTTGTTCTTTCCATTTCTGTTCCAAACGGCTGGAAGAGTTCGAGCAGGATAACACCCAGGCTGTACATGTCTGACTGGTAATGAGGTCAAACAAAGAGTTCTGGGATAATTGCTATTTTTATAGCACTTACTAGATTTCTCTCTTGTTAAAAACTCACAATATGAAAATGTTGCATGACAATAAAGTTCCATGATGATATGAAAAGTATCATGACACTATTAAAGGAACACCAGTTCACATCTATATACATTCCTCAAGATGGTCTTGGAAACAAAAATTTTGCATGAGTAGCAAACTAGAAGGCTAGAAGTTGAAATCCGTGTTTCAACAAAATCATTCAAGAGTAGCCATAGGAAAAATATTTATTTGCCAAATATTACATATTTACCTACCCAATGGCTTGTTTTATTCCTATGATCTATAATCATGTTAATAGAAAACAGTAATACTCCTTACCTTGAAATCATAGTGAGATCCCTGTAGCTGTTCTGGTGAGGCATAGAGGCAAGTCCCAACTCCCATAGTATGTGTCAGTCCTTTAATAAGGCAATTTAGACTTCCTCAGCTAGTGTTACATTGTTACCATTTCATTTAGGGATTTAATATTTAATGGTTTTAATATCATGGAAACTTAAACACTGAAACTCGTTTAGTTTTTTTTTCGCTTACCATTTATCCCTTCTGTCTTAAAGTGCTGGTCTGCATCATCCCAAAGAAGATCTTTGCAGGCTAATCCAAAGTCTCCTATTTTTACATGATGATCTGATCCATGTAGAAAGATATTTCTGGGCTACAAAACAAGACAGCATAAAATCTAAAATATATAAAGACATGAAATTTCAGCTTTTTGAAAGTCTATGGAATCCACTGTTTCATAAGGATAATTATTTAACACTTTCATTAGCAAGAGAAAAAACAAACACGCAATCACCTAGATTGGAAAAGACCTTTAAGATCGAGTCCAACCATTAACCTTTAACCTAGCACTGACAAGTCCTCGACTAAACCATGTTCCTAAGTGCTACACAGCTCTTAAATACCTCCAGGGATGGGGACTCCACTACTGCCCTGGGCCCCATTTCAATGCCCAGTAACCCTTTCAGTAAAGAAGTTCTTCCTAATACCTAATCTAAACCTCCCTCGGTGCAACTTGAGGCCATTTCTTCTTGTCCTATCACTTGTCTGAACAGACCGATCCCCACCACTCTACAACCTCCTTTAAGGTAGTTATAGAGACCGATAAGGACTGCCATCACCTTCCTTTTCTCTTAGAAGAGACTTAGCTGAAAAGTAGAATCACTGAACAGAACTGGTTGTTCAGATCAAACCAGGACAGAAGCAGAGTAGGAAGATACACATTCTCTTCCCTGTTACTTGAGCCTATCAGTTGGGGTTTTCATGTGTGTGTGTGTGTGTGTGTGAAGGCAGGGAAGCAAGACATATCTGCCTATGCTTCACATCTAAGCCAGCCAGGAAGTCAAAATCAGTCTTGTGATTGGAGTTGCAAAAGAACTTTACAGGAACATATAAAGAGCATCATATTGTGAGAGACGGTAAGCTGATGTCTCAAACAGTGTGGGCCTCCTCAGAACCAAGACGGCCCACAGCCGCCTGCCTGGTGCTTGCCCATATGTGTCTGGAGGTGACTTGGTGCCTTTCTGAGGCAACTGCCAAGTCAGGGCCCTGGTGGTGGGATGAGCGCAGGTAGGGCTTGGAACTGCGGTTGCAAAACCAAAGAATTCAAGCCAGCAGAGGGAGGGGTAACCCCCTCAAACGCCCCCACCATCCTCCAGACTCATTCTCTGTAATTTTCCACAAATAAAAGAGGTGTTAGGATATCTGGTGTCAATTCACCTTAATCCTGACCTGGGAATCAGCAAATCTGAGTCACCGTCCTGAAAGCTCAAGGTGTGACACCTATTCTAGTCAAGTCTGCTCTTCATTACTTTTAATAAGAATGAAACCCAAACTTCTAATTCAGTCACTAACATTACATCAGAGTCCAGTCCTTTAGAGGAGGTAGCAAGTATAGTGAAAGACAGCAATTATTTGCAGCTGAGGGAAATTACTCTTTTTTAAAAAGCAAGGAACTGTTAATGTTATTTTCAAAAGCTAACTGACATGCTCTTAGCAAACTGAGGTGTAGTCAAGGAGTTTTGCTGTTTTTTTCTTACTTAATTAGGCAATTTAGGTCCTACTCTCATTAAGAAAAGACCAAGACAAGGCAAAACCAATCTGATCAACCCTCTTTAGGACAAGGAAATCGCTTCAACAAAGCAGAAAACATTTCCAGAGCTTAATCATAACTTCCTTCTAAGTAGATGTAACCTAGGTACTGGTATAGAGGAGATGATATATTTTTACATCCATAACATTGCTAAATTCTTAAGAGCCCAGGTAATTTCAAATTTAACTATGAAGCTGCTTTCATTCTCCCATAATGTAAGCTATTTTTATTTCCTTCAACCTCAAGTAATAATTCAGTGAACTTACTTTAATATCTCGATGCATCACTCCCACACTGTGGATATAGCATACTCCTTCTAATAACTCTTGAAAAATTTTCATTGTCCAGCAGACATCCACCAGATGGTATGGACCTTAAAACAATTTCAAATCAAAATTATTTCAACTAACTTTACTGAGTTAGAGTCCTGTTGAATTCTCTTTATTTATGACATAGAAGAAATTTTTAATACGAGTATGGTTTAAAAATGAAATTTCCCATGCTTCTCTTAGGATAGTACTTTTGAATAAGCAAAAAGTCATTAACCTCAAAATTCCAAAAAAGGAGTGTTTGGGGGACACAGAATCATAGAACGGCCTAGGCTGGAAGGGACCTTAGAGATCATCTAGTCCAACCTCCCTGTCATGGGCAGGGACGCCTCTCATCTAGATCAGGCTGCTCAAGGCTCTGTCCAACTTGGCCTTGAACACTCCAGGGAGGGGGCAGCCAACATCTCTGGGCAATTTATTCCAAAGTCTTGCCACCCTCGTACTGAAGAATTTCTTTGTAAGATCCAATCTAGATCTATTCTCCTTCAACTTAAACCCATTTCCCCTCGTCCTATCCATGGACACTCTTGTGAAAAGTCCCTCCCCAGCCCTCCTGCAGGTTCCCTTCAGGCATTGGAAGGCAGCTATTAGGTCCCTCTGAAGTCTTCTCTTTTCAAGACTGAACAATCCCAGCTCCTGCAGCCTGTCCTCGTAGCAGAGGTGCTCCAGCCCCTGGATCATCCTTGTGGCCTCCTCTGAACATGCTCCAACAGATCCACGTTTCTCTTACGGTATGGGCACCAGAACTGGACGCAGTATTCAAGGTGGGGTCTCACAAGAGCAGAGTAAAGGGGGAGAATCACCTCTCTTGACCTGCTGACCACGCTTCTCTTGATCCATCCCAGGATGCGGTTGGCCTTCTGGGCTGCATGAGCGCACCGCCAGCTCATGTTGAGCTTCTTCTCTATCAACACCCCCAAATCCTTCTCCTCAGGGCTACTCTCAACCCACTCTGTGCCCAGTTTGTATTTGTGCCTGGGATTGGCCTGACCCAGGTGAAGGACCTTGCATGAACATAGGTCTGTCTGAAAAGATTCCTCCAAACCCCACCAGATAGTTATTTCATTATGAATTTCACAAACTCTTTACTTCCATGTAAGTGCTGAATTAGAACAAAAAAATACTGTTCCAGATAAAATCATACCAATTTATGTAATGACATGTTTTCTGTATTGATTTGCACCCTTCCTGGATTCTAATCCTTCTGCTGTTGTGCCAGCCTCTGAAATTCCCAAATCTCCTCTGGCTGTAGCTGTCTAAATAAACACACCTTCTCATTGGTTTTATTATTTCCCACATTATTATTTTATTAAACTACAGTCTTCCTACTCTAAAGACCTAGATCTAACACGTCTGTAGCCACTCTTGAAACTCCTCATTTACTCCTTCCTGGCTTTCTGTTTCTTAATGTCCAACGTGATAGCATCACCTTTCCTCTCCTGTTGCCTGTGAAACTGTGTGAAAACACCATTTTGCAAGGTCAAATGCCCTAGTGATTCTGTCCTTTCCTGACCAGGAAAATCATCTTTTAGCTTATGAAAGCTAAAGACTATGATTACAGGAGAAATTAGTGGAAGTCAGCTGATAGTTAGCTGGTAAACCTGACTCCATGACTGAAGAGAGCAACAGATTTATCTTAATAGTGATTAAAACCAAGACTGAACATTAATCATACAGTGTGTCTTGCAATCTGTTAAGCACATGCTTTTTGTATACAACCACCCCAGAAAAAGGAACATGTCTCTAATGCTTTAAGAGCATTAAACTTGTTCTTCCAAATGTCATCAACTATTGAAGATGGCTTGGTAGCAGAGCATGAGAACTCCCCTGGCCACTCAAGAAAATTAAATGTTAGATTCTTTGGACCAATGACAAATTAGCCTGCATAGGAGTTTTGACTCTTAAGAACAAACTTAAAAGCTTTTAACCGAGTTGTAATATGTCTGGAACAAAACATGTATTTATGTTTTCCACAGCAGATAAATTAGCCTGTGAAGAGCTCTATTTTGTAGCAATAAGACTACTACCAAAGTAAAATTTCAATTATTTAAATGGTTTACTGAGAAAAAAGCAGATTCTGTCCATAAAAAACTTTACCCTAAGTAAGTAGTGCTGCTCAGGCACAGAGCTCTCCAACTACACTTCAGCTATACATTCATTCTTTTTTGAAGGCTTGTCTAAAACTCAGGGACTTAAATCTCTTTTAACAATATCTATCATAGAAAGATTCAATACTAGCTGCTACACGATTAAGTGAATTGAGGACCTAATGAAGAACATTCATATTATAAGGTGCTGAAGTAAAACAAAATCAGGCAAGTGGACTTCCAATCAGGAAATAAGAAATATTTGTTTTATGAAGAACAAGTAAATTTTTAAGATAGTGATAAATCTTACGGGAAATTTCTTCTGCTCTCTCGCTGCATCTTTTATTACGGTCAACAATCCAATCCCACAAGGATATTTCACACAGTTGCATTTGTATATGAAGCATCAAACAATAGTGCACCTAACAGAAACAGAATGGTCCATGATTTTGCCACTGTATTATGAACATTATTTCCTTAGTTATCTTCTTTAAAGCTAATAAATCCAAAATTTATTAAACTAAAAAAAAAAAGTTAGATACCAGAAAGACAACAAATACAGCACTACTCATCTATTGCATTCAAGAAGCAGATGCAACAACACTATCTAGTTTGGGTGCGTTTATTTTTTGCTTGTTCCTCAAATTTTAACAAATATTGTATGGTAAAAGCTAATAAAACAGCCAGACACACATCCTAATATTCAAATTAGTTTAAAAGCTTCTAGACTTACTGAACAGAGGTTCACTCTGGCTTAAGACAAAACTGTAAATTAACATAAAATATCATATGGATATTGGAATGGAATTTTATTGGATTGATATGGAATTTTATGATTCATTAAAATTAATAAGTAACTCACATTCAGTTTCTGATAATGTACTATTTCATTTGATAACCTGGACCACTCAAGCAAACATCTTTAAAATCTTGGAATTCTTGCAAGAGGGAGCTCTAAATGACAGCAAAAGCTTGAAGCATTCCAGAGCCGGCTGTTATACAAAACATTTCCGTGGTATGAACATCCATAAAGTTTTAGAAACATGGGCAGAGAGGTGATTGCCTGCCCAAATCTGCTTCTCTCTTTTTCACATGTAATCCTGCCCTATCTTAGCACCACACTGCATACCGAGACACTCTCATCAGCAATATCCGAAATTAGCCATCATTACTGAATGCTGAAGATTTTCAGGTTTGAAGTTTTGGGGTTTTTTTACGCAGGAATAATACTTTTTATTCATGTAAGTACATTGAAAGGATCCAAGAACACTAACAGGTGGAAACTTGTATGCTGAGTTTTGTCAGCTTTTCTGGCCAGTGTCCTTGCAATGGTGTTACCCACTTAAGGAAAAATTGGCTGTATTTTTTTTTTTACATTGGCTGTAGTTTTTTTCTCTAATCACAGTAATTTCATTTAAAAAATATTATAAATAATTCCTCTGCACCAAATACTACTGTACAATTATAATTCAGACAGCAGTTACACATATTTAAAGAGAACTCTATTTACCTCAAACTCTCCACAGAGAGCTACATCCTTATTGGAACATTCTTCTGTGCAGGACTTACTTCCAGTGCTATCTTCTTGATCCAGACTAGAATGAGGTCCCCACTCTGAATGGTCTTTCACGTCAGTTGATCTACTGCTAACACTACTTAAAAATTTGTCTTGTAATTCTATGGATAATTCACATTTATTTGGTTTCGTACACTCTTTACTACTGCTGTTTGTAAAATCACTCCTTACATCCATATTCTGCACTGATCCACCACCCTGGTTTTTAGGACTGGTGCTGTCACAGGACTTTTCTTGTGAAGTAAGGTCAGCAAAGATAATTGAACTACCACTTTCCACACTTTGAACGTGACAGTGATCACTGGAAATAATAAAGTAAGGGAGAGAAATCAAAATACATACACAGTTTCATGCCATCTATTTGTGATATACCATTTTGAAAACTCTTTTCTTCCCCAACTGCAAACTGCATTACAGAGTAGGAGTTCAGCTGCTTCCCCATGTAACATTTTAGGATTACATAACTGGCAGTGTAGCCAGCTCCAGCCTCTTTAATACCCTCCCCCAGCACAAATTTCTGATAGCTGACTCAGACAGCTCATACATACGTACAGCCCTAGGTCCCAGCATTCACTGGATAGAAGTTTAATGCATCTCCATTCTTTTAAATTTAGGAAGTTGCACTGTACTTCTCAGAGAACTCCAGCTCGTTACTGAAAGGGCTAATCAACACTTGTGAGAAACAGAAGGCTCCATCACCCTGACAGAACCCTGCAGCGCTGATCAGTGTTGCTGACTGGCACTGAACTTCTGAAGTAAACGTGAAGCCCAGTACTACATTCAGGCACTCAGAAACTGAGACCCCAAGAAAGCAGAAGTATCCAGTAATATTTTTCAGCTTAACCAATAAGAAGAGAAACAATGACAAGGATAATTAAGACTTTTTTGGGTTACAATTTTGAAGCAAAAATCACTATGCAATATATGATGAATTCTGCACTCAATTTTAATGTTACTTAGAAAAACCTCACTCATGTTAAAGCCAAAGAAATGTTGTAATTGAGATTTCTAACACTTACTTGCTACTCTCTTGCTGCAAAGATAATGGCTGCAACTCCATTATTGCTTTACCTATTGAATGAAAAAGATAAATATGGTATTTTACAAAACAAAACATGCACATACTATAAACTAACATTTACAATACAGCATCTTACTGGATTTAACAAAACATGCACATACTTACTATAAATTAACATTTACGATACAGCATCTTACTGGATTTAACTTTATTACTTCTAGGAATCTTTATTTTCTGCAAAAGGTGCATGTGGGTCTACTAAGAAGCAATTCTAATATGTTTTCCATTTTTCTTTAAACAAAAATACACGTTGTAGAAGGCCACTGTACTGGGCTCTCTTAAATATTCACCTAGCTTTTACCTTAGAAGTTAGCCAGTGCAAAATTAGGGCTTCTAATGTACACAATACACAGTTAAAGAAGCAACTCTAAAAGGCACCATCCTTTGCATCACCCTACTGCTGTTTTGAAGACACTTGATGTTTTGGAAATAATTTTCATTAAAATTATATGTTTATGTGACAAAGTAGTTTGTTTTAGCACACAGAAGCAAATATGAAGGACCAATCTTGTAACCCAAGGAAAACCATCAAGGACTTGCCTATAGGTCTAGTTATGTACTTACGTTATCATCATTAAATATTTGTGAAGAACTCCTAGCACTAACATGTAGTATCCTTTGAGATTCCCAGTATTATCGGTTAAATAGTCTTGTCTGGTTTATTATACTGTCAACTTCCTATGCATTTGCTTTTGTGCTTATACCTGACTGGCTGTCAAGTCACTGACTTGGAAAACAATAAAGTCATATAGAGCATAAGCAAACGTCCCATTAAGAGAGGATCAAAAGATTCAACTGCTAAAGGCATTCCAGAAAAGGCCAAGAAAGAAAAGGACCAATGGATTAGGGTTACAAAGGGACCAAAGGACAAAGCATGGGAAGAGCTGAGAACAGAGAAACTGAAGAGGAAGAAAAAAGAGGGGTAGGGAAGATGCTGTAAAATGAACATAAAAGCAGATAAATTCTCAATAGTCACAGACAGTAGCTGATAAACAAAAAAAACCCCAGCTTGCTCTGTCACTTTAGAACTACGGAACATAATTCATCAAATGTAAAAACTCTCCTGGAAAGCAAAATAAGAGCAAATATTTTATTTTCTTTTGCCATTGAAGTATTTATTTCCAGGTCCTCGAGCTCTTCTAAACTCTTTTCCAGATAGGAAGGAAAGTATAGTGGGGAAACTTATTCTACAATTCTTTTTTTTTTCTGACTTTTCCTACAACTCAAGAGATTTCAAAACATGGTAAAAAAGTTTGTGTGTGGTTTTTTTTTCTTACTCAACCCTTCCCCTCCTATATCTGAAGTGACTCATTCTCCAGTATTCATTTTTCTCCTTGTTATCTCACTACTTTTGCATCAAAAGGTTTTTGCTTAACACAACTTTAAAATCCTCCCCACACATTACCAGAAGGGCAGCCAATACCTCCAGAGTTCCAAATTCATCATTAGGTCACATAACAGGTAAGTTATTAGGTAAGAGACTTAAGCTCGCAAAGTGACCATCACTACTGGTGGTCACGAATAGCTTGCTTTTTTGGGGGGGCTGTTTTAAGGGGTGGAAATAAAAGTAATTTATCAGAGAAGTAATGCTCTCCTGTAAATGATAGTAGAGAGCTTATAAGCAGGATTCAAGCAAAATTACACAATATGCTGAACTTTCCTTTGGGGTGCACTGTTTGAACTTGTTCCATCCAAGCAGTGTGATAGCCTACAATATTAGGATGCTGCAGCCCAGCTAGCACTTTAACTTCTCGTAGCACCTAAAAAGACCAAAAAGAAACATGGCTGTAAACCCAAAAGATAAACACACAACAAAACAGCTTCTGACAAAGAGAGAGCAGATAAAATTATTACACTAATGGAGAAAACTTGGAAGCCTTGAAACAAAGTATATTTTTCGTAGTTGCAGAGATGATGAAATTGAAGCTAGTAATATGCTTCTTTTGATAGACTTAAATACTTTTTTTTTCCTACTAGATGTTGATAGGGTCAAATCTTTAGAAACTCAGAATGCGTAAAAATTATTGTTAATTTTTTTATGTTTTGGGAAATAACTGCATTACTAAATTAAGTCAGAATTAGCTGAGCAGACAAGGAGTTAAAACAGAGATGAAACACAGGAATAACAATACCTTCATGCAATCTCTTCTTGTAGCCTTCTTAATGTTAATTTTTTTAATAGCATAGAACTGACCATCTAACTTATTTCTGACCTGAAAACAATTGCAACAGGACAAAATTAGATGTTAATGTCTTTAGATTAAGGAATTGTTAAATCCTCTGGAGCCAACTATGTTCTAAAAATTAATTTCTGTGCTCTATTCACATAACTTCTCACCCGATTCTTTTTGAAATACACATCTTTACAGCTCTTCTTCCACCAATAAAAAAAGGCTCTTGTGTCCCGATTACTGCTTAAACAGGTTCTCAATAAATCTGCTAAGAACTCAGCTGTTATTTACATATGGCACATACCACACGGGGAACCTTAGGCTGGCCACATGCTACATATTTAATACAATTCAACAGTGGGTTGGGCAACAACATTGCTTTTTTTTTTGAGCAGCCACAATTAGAACATTGGGGTGTGCAGAGTAATTAGTTCCTGTGGCTGCTTTAATTCAATATATCACAATACTTCACATGAGAAGGAGTTTTCATTCATTTTAAAATGGTCAAAACACACAAAGTCAAACACCTGATATATCCTGCTTCCAATAAACAGAAAACAGAAACCATAACTGAGCACCTTTTGAAATGAAATGCCAACATGTTTGCAACAAGTTTGCACTAGTTCTACTGGAAAATTTTGGTTTTCCATTAGAAAATTAAACAAAAGGGCCAAAGTAATAACTCTTAAATTTTGAAAAAAACCCAACAACCCAAATATAAACTGATCAGTTAGAAATGGAAGACACAGAATACCTTGTATACTTTACCATATCCTCCTTTTCCTAGCCTTGCAATCTCATCAAATTCATTCAAGTATCGTGAAGTCTGTGCTTCAAAGAGAACTTCTTTTTCCCTAATAAAAAAGTTAGGCTGCATTAAACTGAACCACAATTTATAACTAAGGTAGTATATAGGATACGTGTGTATACAATCTAGAAATACTATTTACATTATCAAAAGAAGAAAAGATTTTGATATTACCCTACTGTACCATTCACTGTTTCAGTGAATACCGCAAACCAGCAGGCTGCAGCAGCATGCACACATTGTGTTAACATCTCTATTAAGATTATTTATTTAAGTTTATGCCAGATAAATCTTGTTTTCCTGAATGGTGGCACTACCCATGGAAGTCGTACTGAAGAAGGAATTTTTACCAGATCGTTCCGAGTTTGGAGAAATTTTCATTTTTTTCCCCAACATTTCAGAACCAAATTATGAAATGCAGTACGAATTAAATTTAGAGTGGAGCACAGAACTTCACAGAGTAAGTTAAGTTTAATATTTGCAAATGCTTCAAATACATACCCAATTGCATATGAATCTCCATTATCAAGTTCCTATGAAACAACAAAACGCAATGTTAGAACACATCATACCAAATAACAGGGCTACGGTGTCATCAGCGCAGACAGCTTATTCAAAATAAAAACGACGACTATGTTCTTAGAAGAAAAGGAGGTTACCAACAGCCATTGAGATTCTGCAGTGAGCTTCACCAAACTAAAGTATTATTATCCCACCAGTAATCTGCTAACATCTCTCTGCTGGAGAGATTACTGACCTTTTAGAGTTCTGCTGGCAAACAGGATAAAATGAGGGCTTTAAGATGTACTTAAGACAAAATTAACCAGCTTAGTTCAAGCAGTGAGATAAGCAAACTCGTCTGATTCAGCCTGAAGCACATTATGCAGTATACAAATTACGCCCTCTACTAATATAAATACGAGGGTGTTAACACAATCAACTGAAGCAGTTCAAAGTTGAAAATGGGTGGCTGTTCATTGTTGAAAAAAGCTGTAACAATACTTTAAAACACATTGCCTGTGTTTATAAAGGATTTAACTTTTTTTAAAAAATTATTTAATAAGGAACAAAATATGCTGGCCTCAAAAGCTTTGGTTTGCACCTATAGAACTAAAACACGCTATTCCAAATAGCTGTGGTAGAACAGGAATGGTGTTAGCGTAATTATTAAAAAGACTCAATCCAATATTAAAAGAACCCCCAAACAAAGCTTCTTTGGATGCAACGATGTGTTAATTCCTTAATGTAGAGGTTGCCAAAGAAATTTAGCAGAGCTTACCCCGTTAACTATTTGTCGATTAGCTGCTTTCATTAATTCAGTAATGGCTCTATTATGCTGCAGTCTTATGGTACTAAATTCATCACAGAAGGCAAAAGGGGAGAGCAACCCTGTTCTCGTGAAAGCCTGACGAAGTACTGTGCAAGGGAACAGAGAAAAGTCACATCAAATAAAGCCTGCCAATAAGCCCACGTAAACAGTTGATGCTTTTCAATTGAGAAACTTTATTTCAAAGATAGCACATCTGAAAAACTGAACAGTCACTCCTACTCTGCCATTTCCTGTACTCTTAGCAATAAAAACTAATTAAATCCAAACTAGAGCTGCTCTGTGAGAATCCTTTTGCATAATACAGTTATTTGCCAGGCCCTTCGTGGTCACAAGTACATCTCCCTTATCTCGGCAAATGCATTATACAAACATCCAGTCATTAACTGGCTTGTTACCCTTGTAATAATTTTGATCAGTGAAAAGATAAATTCAAAGCATGTTCACAGTTAGGAGGACACGTTTAGAATAAAAAGCAGTAACATTTTTCTAATTCACATACAAACTCAAGTATGTGCACATACTGAGAGTAAAGGATGAAGTCCCTCCCTCCCAGCCTCCCCCAAGCTGCATGTCTTTCTCAGTTGGAGTACAACACTGTGGCAGACAAAAACCTAACAAATACTGGAGATTGGTGCAACTGCAAAGATGCTACAAAAATGTACTTGAAACTTTTAGGAGGTCCAAGGTCATAAAGCTTGCTTGTGTGACATTCTTTTGTTTCCTTGGAAACAGTATTTAGAAAAAAACCCCAACCTACTATTTTATCTTTTAAAGAAGATAAAATATATTGCAAGTGAATCTGAAAGGAATCAGCAATTTTGCTACACAAGCCTTAGGAACACAATTACACACCAGAAAGGTGGGAAAAGCCCACCCCTGCATGAATATACCAGCTAAAACCACAGTACAGATAACTACCGCAATATGTATTTTTCTTATTCATCAGACTTATTCCACTTTGGAAACCGGTTTGAAGTGGAGGAATGCCATTTTCTATAGAAATACACTGGGAAGCCAAGCAGCCACGTACTTTGGAAGATGCTCAGGTTTGCGTTGGTTTGTTTCTCTCCCAAAAGGAGGAAATCTGGCTGTTTTTTTCCTTCTCTGGTATTTTTGGTTTTGATTGAGATTAACAGTAAGACTCAAGGACAAACATTTACATCAGACTTCAAGAATGAAAAAAAAAAATACAGTTTTCTGCACTGGTGATCCTGGATGCTACAAATGGCTTCAATTTTAAGTACAAACAATACATTGAATTTAATTTTCAACAATTTCAACTAATGTATAGTAAGGAGAAAACCTTCTGAAATTGTTTTTCAAATGCATTAAACTATGTGCTTAAAAGAACAAAATACCCAAGATAAGTCCCATACCAAAAAGAGAGATTTCAAAAGAAACACTTCACATCTGAAAATGCAAGCTCCCTGAATTGTGTCAAAAGACTTCACTAGAAAATAGAGGAGTTAGAAGTATTTACTTTGATTTTCAGACTAGAATTTTGACATTTAGTGAAGACTATGCTACATCTATTTCTGGATAAATGTTTTTATTGAATCATAGAATCAGAGAATTGTCAGGGTTGGAAGGGACCTTAAAGATCATCTGGTTCCAACCCCCCTGCCATGGGCAGGGACATCCCCCACTAGACCAGGTTGCCCAGAGCCCCATCCAGCCTCGCCTTAAAAACTTCCAGGGATGGGGCTTCCACCCCCTCTCTGGGCAACCTGTGCCAGGGTCTCACCACCCTCATGGGGAAGAACTTCTTCCTAAGGTCCAATCTGAACCGATCCATCTCCAGCTTCAATCCATTCCCTCTAGTTCTATCACTACCTGACATCCTAAAAAGCTTCTCACCAGCTTTCTTGTAGGCCCCCTTAAGATACTGGAATTTCTTTTCTATCTGTGCTTTTAGATCAGATTTAACAGATAACTTACCCTTCTACCCTTCTCATAATGCAACTCACACGACTTAGCTTGAACAGAACTGTCTGATCTTTACATCTACAACGTTATTCTGTTACTGTTTTCAAAAGTAAGACAGGTATTCATTCCCAATTAAGCTGATGAGGGTGTTCATCTTTTTCTCAGAATTACTCTTGTTCCAATGCAATGAGACCGATGGCTTTGTACTGATAGTACACTGTAAGTCTGCACAGAACAATCGAGTACATATTGCAGTGAGGCAGTTTAAGGGACAGGCAAGAGCTACTCTTACTAACTTCGGAACAAACACCTCGAACGAACGGGGTTGTGTGTGTACATGTGGCAGAGATGCTCCAGCAGTGACACAAGCAGCAGCTGGTTTTGGATGGTTGAAGTAAAATTCACGAAATTTTGTGACCCGTTTGCAACTCGCAGCTCTGCCGGCACATCCGATTCTGAAAAAGGACAGTCAGATGAATGAGTTTAGGTCTCAGTACATGCCTGTTTAGCAAACCAGCAAAACCACGTACCAACCCACACAGCTCCAGCACAACCCCGGCTCAGAAAAAGGCAACACGCGAGCTGCCCCTAAGCGAGAAGCTTAAAGACGCTAATTAGGAGCCTAATTAATTTTTATAAGGACAGAAGCTACCCGGGGAGGACGACGCTGTCCCGGAGAC